ATGGGGTAAAGAGGAGTAATGGAAGGAATTAAATGGGCCAAAGTAAAATATACCCACAGTGGGCAAACACTGAGAAACTCCTTTGAACATCAACTTAAACATTAACAACAAAAAAACAGGACCATAAAATAGGTACAGTATGTGTGGAGTACTAGTTGGAGGGCAAAGAGCAAATGGAGGAGATTAAGGTGAGGGTATATGGTTGATGAACCTCATACACAATGAAATAGTACAAAGAAACCTCTTGCAATTGCTTTAAGTGGGATGGGGAGGGTGTTGAGGGGGAGAAATGATGGGGGCAATATAACAAATGTACAATGTAAGTCTAATAGGAATTGTCACTATGAAATCCCCCCCATGTAATGAATATATCCTAATAAAAATTATATATATATTTTTTAAAAGCCCAATGATATGCTGCCTACAAGAAACTCACTCAACCAGTAAAGACACATACCGCTGAAAGTGAACGGATTATTTAAAAAATTCCACTCAAACAGAAACCAAAAGCAGAGTGGCTCAAGTGCTACAGCACCTGACTAGCAAGCATGAGGTCCTGAGTTCAAACCCCAGTACCACAAAAAAATGATTAGAAAAATAGGCTTTACCATAATAACCATAGAAAGAGACAAAAAAAGATCACTATATAATAAACACGAGATCAATTTAACAAAAAGGTGTGATTGCTAATGCATATGTACCTAATGACATCACACTCAATTTTATGAAAAAAACATTATTACGTCTAAAGGGAAATATAGGTTCCAGGACAATAGTGGGGTACTTTAAAACTTCATTTTTATCAATATTAAGATTATCTAGACAAAAAATAAACTAAGAAACATCACATAGAGTGTTTTCTGAACACAGTGTAATTGTATTAAATGTCAATAAAGATAACTAAGCATAAAATCCAAACACAGTTTAGACATTCTAAATTATGTGAGATTCAAAGAATAATAAGCAGCAGAAATTAAACATATATACATATATATAATGATAACAAATATATCCATACCAAATTTTATTAGATGCAACTAAAGTATGCTTAGAGGAAACTGCATAGCCTAAAAAGTAAATATTTTTAAAAGAAAGACTGAAAAATAACCTATCTAAATATCTATTAAGAAATTAAAGGAAAAAAAAGGATAAAGATAACAATGGTTATAAATCTAATAAGATCTAAAACAAGATCAATAAAACAAGAAATCAATGTTAGAAAAAACAAGGAGTGAATTTGATCAAAATACATTACATAAATGTATGGTAAATCACAATGGACGCTCTTTGTACAAATAATATACTTTAATGAAAAAAGGGAGGAAAGAAATAACTATTAAAATTGATAAATCCCAGCAACTGTTCAAGAAAAAGTGAAAATGCAAACTACCAATATCAGGAAAATAACTAAGGTGCATCACTGCAAGCATACTGGCCATGTCATTTAAGAGGATGTTATGAACAACACTATATAATGATAACCAGACACTTTTGATGGTGCTTTGGATCAGTGATTCCTTGCAAAATACACCTATCAAACTGTCCAATTCTTCTGACATGACTACTTCAGGAGGACTAAATTGTCTGATTCATCTTATATCTAATTTAAAAATCACCCATAATTTAAAACTTTCTCAAATAAAGAAAAGCAACCCAGAAGCAGGTCATTCTTCTAAACATTTAGAAAAGAAGTAACCACAAACTTAATACTTTCACAAAATAGAAGAGTGCTTCCCAGCTCACAAGTTGGTATGAGGCCATCACAACTTTGACACTAAAATATGACAAAGATGTTTTTTAAACAGGAAAATTACAGACAATTCTCTCTTGTAAACCATGTGTAGAAATCAGAAATAAAATATTAGGAAAATGTGGTACTTATACAAAATGGAGTTTTATTCAACCATGAAGAATGAAATCTTATTATTTTCAAGTAAATGGATGGAAGGGGAGAACATCATTCTGAGTGAGGTTAGACCAAGAATTGTATGTTCTCCCTCATATACAGACTTTAGATCTAGGGCAAATACAGTAATGTTGTTGGACTTTGTCACATGATAAGAGGAGAGCACATACAGGAGGTATGGGATAGGTAAGAAACCCCAAATATGAAAAAGTTTGATGTCCCCACTGCAAAGGAACTAATACAGAAACCTTTAAAGTGACAGAGGTCTCTATGGGAGGTGACCAGGAACTAGTGAAAAGGTCAGTTGGAGATGAATCAACTTGAGTTGTAACACGTTTGTACATGGAAGCAATGCTAGGAATCTCTCTGTATAGCTGTCCTTATCTCAACTAGCAAAAACCTTTTGTCTTTCTTATTATTGCTTATGTCTTCTCTTCAACAAAATAAGGGCAGAACAAGTTCTGCCTGGAAGCGAAGGGGGGTGGAGGGGAGAGGGAGGGGGTGGGGTGCAGGGGGAGAAATGGCCCAAACAATGTATGCACATGTGAATAAATGAATAAAAAATTAAAAATATATATTAGGAAATCAAATTCAGAAATATATATATGAAAAGGGCTGGCAGAATGGCTCAAGTGGCAGAGTGCCTGCCTAGCCAGCATGAGGATCTGAGTTCAAGTCCCAATACTGGAAAAAATAAAGGAAAAAAATATATATATGAGAATTTGTCATGGTCAAGTCAGTTGATACTCAAAGTACACAATTGAAGTCACATTTAAAAATCAATCAATGACAGACCTAAATCCCCTGGTGGCAGCTGTGGTGGGGAGGGGCAAAACTAAGAATATATTTAGGACCATGGGTGTAGGCAAAGCTGTCTTAGAATACAAAGGGGATAACCATCAAATAAAAAGATAATAAAATGGACTATTTAAAACTTTTTTAATGAAAAGAAACAAGCAAAGTAAAACCTCATCAAAAACACCACTAAGAAAGACAAAAAGCAAGGCATAAAGGAGGAAGTTTTTCCCATTACATCTATCTGAAGAAGGACTCATACCCAGAGTCTATTAAATGTTAAGTCAATAAGCAGGCAAAAAATTTAAAGGAGTAAGTCTCGGGCAAACACTCCACAAAGAAAGAGACAAATGGCTAGTGAACTTATAAAAATGTGCCCAACATTAGCAGTCATCACAGAGATGCAGTTAGATACATATAAGGTATGGACTGCATGCACATCAGAATGATTTTAATTGAAAGCCCTGACAATTGCAGGTATTAGAATAAAGCAGCTGAGATGTTGTATACTTTTGGTGGCAGTGTAAAAGTTCAACTACCTTAGAAACTACTTAAAATGCTTGCAGGTGTTTGCTTTGTTTTGTTTTACTTTTGTTTGGTTTGAGGTATAGTCTCACTATGTACCTCAGGCTGTGTTCAAACTCTGCCTTTACCTTCCAAGTGCTGGAATTGTAGAACGCACTGCCAAGCTTGGCTCTATTTGGCATTTTTAACAGTTAATCATACACCAATTTTATCCCTATGTAAGAATGTTCATCACAGCTCTATTTATCGTAGAGAAAAACTGGAATAAATTTCAGATATCTAACAGCAGAGTGTCTTAATAAATGGCTATTATTCAAATAATGACATAATTTTCAACAATAAAAAGAACCACCTATTGATACATGGATCATCAAGGATGAATTTAAGCCATTAAGCTAAGCAAACAAATTCAGATACAGAAATGAACAGGCAAATTTAATAAAGCCGGAAGAGTGGCTGTCTCTTGAGGGGGGGGTGAACAGGCTGGGAAAAGACAAAAAGAACATACTGGGGTAGTAGAAATTGCTATATCCTGATCTGGAAAATAAGTAATAATAAGATTAAAATACTTCTTTATGTGTAAACTTTGGTATGATGTAAAAAAAATGGAAAAAATTTTAAGCACATAACAAAACATTATATACAGAGTGTATGTGACTCAAGGAAAAGTCAAGAAGAAAAACATGAGGAAGGAATTTATAAAAAAGAACTCAGATTCAGTAGTAGTCAGGAAAATGACAAATTAATAATGGACTACATTTATATTCATAACCTTTGAATTGGCAATAGAAAGGTTAAGTGTTTCTACCACTTGAGAAACCAAGGAGACAAAACTTAGTTATGTGGGGTACATATCTTTCAACCCCAAGTGTCTATCTCCACAGCAATGAGACCACCTCCATACAGAGCATATTGTACAAGAATGCTATTGCAGTATTTTACAGAGAGGTGAAACAAATGAACAACAACCACCAAGAAGAAAAACACAAAGTAGGAGAAGGAAATAAATCTGTTTTGTCACAAAAGAGTAAATATTGAAATATTTTATACAACATAACATATTATGTGGTCATTAAAAATTGTATGGCTCTGAAGTAATTTTTCAACCTGTGGTTAAATATGGTAGACAAATATGACTGTAGGAAAAATATCAATCATATTAAGCTTCTCCATTTCAATATGAGGTTTGGCTCTCAGAAGACAGCAAGCCTTAACTGGCACAGGGAAGGCCGGTGCTTTCCCTCTGCGTTACTGACAAGGTGTGTGCCACCATGTGCGCCCGTAGCTGCCAACACAAAACATTTTAAAGATCTTTTGCAGTGACTGAAAAGAACACAAGGTGGTACATTTAATTGGTGCTTCTTCTTACATGTCTTTTTCTATGTTCCTCTTTTTCTGGGCTAGTAGTTTTCCTTTTCCCCTCTTTTTCTTTCCTTTTCTATTTTTGTTTCTATCATTTTCCTATTTCTTAATCTTATTCTGTCTCCTTCAACAGATGACTTTTTATATGTGTTTCTTTGTATTTGATATATTTATGACATTATTTCCTATATATACCTATATATATAATTTAGAAAATGTGTTATTTATCTGACTTTCTCAAAGAGAATATATGCTATCCTATGCTAGGCTGTGCTGATGTTTTATATCCATGATTCTCCACTGAAGAAATGAAGGGAATTTATATTACCTGGGCATTGCTACCTTGTTGTAATTAGAAAAGCTATTACTGTGCTGATACCATGACTCTTCATTATTTCCTCTACTCTTGCAGGGACTTTTGATAATGTTGATGATCTTCAGCATCATTGAATTATTCATTTCCTTGCCTTTCGCAATTTGGGGATGCCACTCAGCCAATTGTCATTATAAGGAATGTTTTTGAACATGTTATAAGATTACCTAGAACTGAACACTGCTTGTGAGAAAAGCTGAAAGGAACACAGAAGTTTGAGGCTGGCAAGTCTTAGAAGCAAAGGAGAGTGACTCAAAAGGGGTGAGGGGACCTATGGACACTTTGACTGTCTCTTGGCAATGCCATCTCCCCCCCCTCTCCAAATATAATGATCACCTTGATGTCATCACCTCTGTGACTCATACATTCTTGCAACTGAAGGACAGCAGTGTGGTGTTGCATCTCTACAAACAAACTATGATCCAAAGCCCAGGGTCAGGGATGACCAAGTCATCTAACTTCCTTGATTCATGACAGTCTTCTGTTTATTTTCTGAGAGACTCCACAGAATGGCTCTTGCTCCATTGTATGGGAAGTTGAGTTGAAGAAAGAATGGTTTGACACAGAAATTTTACATTAATGCTGTAAGATCATCAAGGTTATGAGTCAATCAACTAGAACAGTAACAAGAATGAAAATAATAAAGGAGCCACAACTATGTTCCAGCTACCATGCTAAGTGTTATACCTGTTACTCATTTAATCCCACAACAATTCTATGAGGTGAATTTTATTATTATACCCTAACAAGAAAGCTGAAGCACAGAAAGGATCAGTAATGTGCTCAAGGTCACAAAGCCTACAGTGGCAGAGCCATAAATAATATCAACAAGCAGGCTGGCTCCAGACTCCAAGGTCTTAGTCCTTATAACATTTCTGTCTGTCAAACTTTTTAGTATCAGAATCTCTTCATATCCTTAAAAATTATGAGGAGCCATTACACATTAATACAAAATATATTTGCTAAAATGACTACATTTTCCAAAATAAAATAGTGTGGAGAATGGCACTGATTCACATTTTCACAAGTATTTTAATGCAATAGCTGCCAGACTTTGTTGCACATTCAGATTGTCTGAGGAAACTTCCATAGACCCCAATACACCATAGACAAACACATACCAATTAAATAGGAATATGGTGAAAGCAAGGTATTTGTAGTTTTGAATATTTACAGGGGATTCCAATGAATAGGGAAGCTTGGAAGCTACTGCTTTACTGTAGCATAATTGGAGGCAACTGGATTATCTTAACAGCTTTTGCTTTCAGTCTTGTAGCTCATATTCTACAACCCGTGGATTACACCAATGTAATCTTTGAAAGTGAAAATGTTATGAAAATACTTTTAAACTCATGAACCCCCAAAAGGGTCTTGAAGTCCCAGGAGATTCCCAGTCCACATGTTGAGAACCATTGCCTTATACTGTATGCCTTCCATGGGCTGAAAATCTACTAAGTACCAGAGATCTTATCTATTCCATCTCACTAATTGTTTATAACAGCCCTCTGATGAACTATGCCTTTTGTTCACAAACAAGAAACTGAAAATCAAGGTGGCTACCTTTCTGAGACCACAAAGGGAGTATGATTTAGAACCAGACTTCAAATCAAGATCTCTAACTTCAAACCCCATTATCTTATGCTTCCTCTGACATAGCAAAAAGAAACAAGCTTACCCTACTCGAAGAAATAAGCTAACAGGCTTTCATTTCTTCTAATAGTTACAAGGATCTAATGTCTACAGGTACATGAGTGAAAGTCAACAGAGAGAGGAACGGTGGGAGAAAACGTTTTATTGCTCATTTCCCATATAGTGAGGTTCTGGTGGGAAAACATTTGGCAACTGTGTGATGTTCAAGTATGTGAGGTCTGGGAAATACTTAAGGGTGAGAATCCCTGATGCATAATGATTTTTAAGTATCACTTTGCCATGTAAAGCTGTGAGACTTGAACAGACAATTTAAACTGTGGATTAAAAACTCCTAAACTAAATTGCAATATGTGTTCACTGTGATCCTTAAATTGAAATATGTAAAGTAATTTCATCAGCACTTGGAACTGAAAAATCACTTAGTAAATGGTAGTTTTTATTAAATTATAATTAAGGTTTTCTGGTTTTTAAATATCACCTGTTTTATTACTTACTAGCTGTGTGATTTAGGGGTAGTTTCTCCATCTATAACTATTTTCTGCAATTATGAAACAGAAAAAATCCATAAGAAATATGTGTTAAGACTTTTTACATGAACAATTCTTGTCATGTAAGTAGGCATTCAATTAAAGTTACTTTCCTAAGTGTTAAAAAAGATATAAAGTAGTCCTTCAAAACAGAAAGAAATATAAAATACTTAAATACTTTAATTTACATTGTCCTTACTAAGTACAGTGTTGAGATTTTCTAGCCTGTAACCAAATTCTATCTTCAAGTAGACTATCTGTTAAGTGTATACAATGGCAGAAACCACGGAGACCTTGTGTCAATGCTCTGAAGGCAAGCCCTCCAACAGCAGGTAATTCTGGGTAGTAGGTCCATGCTGAGCAGTTTGTAGCATGTTGTAATGTTACTTCCTAATTCTAGACATCCCGGGTGATCATCAGCTGGATGGGGGAAAGAGCCAAAGCAGAACCATTCTTTCTCATGGTACTGCAGAAGACACAGCAATCAGAAAAACCAGCCCTGCTTTCAGGAGACATGGAGACTAAGAGCTAAATAAGGAAAAGACCTATCTGATTATGATATAAAAGGTAGCCTTCAAAAGATAGGCAAAAATGCTGTGAGGATTTTTTAAAGTTACAGGCTAGAAGATGGAGGAAATAAAAGAAAAATTCATATCAGGCAAACACTAAAGAAAGTTGGTATACTTTTCTTGGATTTTGTTTTGTTTTTTGCAGTACTAGGTTTGGACTCAGAGCCTCATGCTTGCTAGGCAGTCACTCTACCACGTGAGTCACTCTGTCAGCCCAAAGTTGGTGTACTTTTATGCAGACTATAAGAATGACCATCTTTTGAAACCTGATATGACAATAAGCTGATTCAAAGAAAAATGTGTAATAACTCAATAACCCCTCAAACGTTAAACTGGGTAAAAGTGATAGATCAAAAATGTTATTAACAAATCTTGCTTGCAGGGGAAATTTCAACACACTCAGTTATTGAATGAACAATCAATCCAAGTTAGCAAAGACAAAGTAAAAGTTTTGATATAAATTGAATTCGAGTTCATTTAGACAGAATCACACATAGGCCAAAGTCATCTCATTGACCACAAAAACAACCCAAGAAAAACTACCCAAGACTAGGGAAAAATAGTATGTACACACACAAAGAGATCGGTTGTGCAACTCCAACTCAGGCATTCTCTGAGGCTACATATTTGCATGACCTGACCCTTTCTCTCACACACTGGAGTGAAGGCACACACCTCTACCTACCTAACTTCCTGGATGCAAACATAGTCCTCATAA